TTCCTTGTAACTTTAAAATCGACAAAATATGTCACTGCTTTACATATCCTTAGAAAAATCAGGTCGGGTCAAAAACAGAGCATTGCTGCCATATCTAATCTCCATCTACCCTGTCCTCACTGTCTAGGCTTGAGTTCAAAATTGATTATGCAGCCTTGTGCGTGATGAATTATTTTCCACCCTCCAATTTTTTTCCCACAGACGAAACGGTGTTAATCTCTCCCTGGTTCTTTCGCTATTCCCATGGCATATAATTTTATGGTATACTATTTTTATGGGTAAAAGTGCTCAATATTAGAGATATAGCTTATGTAAACATAAAAGTGGACACTGAGAACAACACCAAGCGACGAGAGTCTGTTTTATGCTTGAATGCTTGAAAATTGCGTTTACGTATGAAACAGACTCTTGCCGCTTGGTGCTGACATCAGTGTCTATATATATATATAGATAGATATATATATATGGGCGAGTGGTTAGAACGTTCGCTTTCTGACCATGAGACCTGGGTCCGGATCTCACCATGGTCGATTTGTCAGGAAGGAGACTACCTGATAGCATTGGTCTGGAGTCAGGGTCGATCCCAGCGTGCGGCACCTTTGTAAAGTGCCTGAAAACGATACCACGAGTTGACCCAAGCCTTGTGATTGAAATTGGGTAGACGGAACACATCGGTAGCTGTGCTAGCATGAAGTGACAACTCATGGCCTTGTTCAGATTTTCTCTTCCAGAAACTAAGGGTCTGCTCAGCATAGTTGCAGTACAAACCACAGGTGGGCTCTGTGTGTGGGGAAAAAACACAAATGTGCCTGAGTGAGCGTCTAATAGATGGGTATATTCGAATACGAGTGGCCAGCTATTATTAGCCACATACACACACACACACACACACACACACACACACATATATATATATATATATATATATATATATATTCGACTCTACCGTGGAATTCGACGTATGAGGTTCAAACAAGACAGCCAGACCCCAGTACATCAGATTTGATTATAGTGGTGAAGGTTTTGTGCAGAACAATCCACACTTTTTGAAGGGCCGAATACAGAGACCCTGGAACACTACGTGCCACAAGGTCCCCAAACGACCCTCCGTAGGTTTTCAATTCAGAGTTCTCCTAGACCAGTTGCCACCCAAGGCTATAGAACCCGGTCTGTTCTGTTATTTACCCATAACTGGAGAGAAGAAGAGGATTCATACCTTTCCCAATGGTATTAGCACCTAAGTGAATGCAATGGATTCGACTGGAATTCGAACTCGGTTCTCCGATTCCTAAATCCAAGCCGCTAACCATTACTGCCTCCTTATGCATAGTCAGCGAGAGAGACATGGAGGTTGTAATGGTTGTAATGTCCCGTATTTCAGAGTATCGATAGATAACGGAATATTTATTTTTATTTGCTTTATTATTTGTGTTTTGGTCCAGGTTAGGACCAAGGAAGAACAACACGAACACGAAGAGTAGAAATAACGAAGGTATATTACACGAAATAATAATACAAGATGTGGAAGGTGTTAGTATGACTGTCAGTCTGGTTTGGAGTGAACTACTCTCAACTCGACTCGATTCGATATCTAGCCACCCCTCCACGAGGATTGCATGTGGGACAGGACCGAGTTTAAGGTGGGTTTCCCGAGCCCGTAGGCTCTGCCAAAAAATGCCCGTAGAACCCGTATAAACGGGATCGGGTTGGTCAACCTCCCCGAACGAGACTCTGCCCTTCAGCTGAGTCTCGTCCGGGTTCCTCTCTGCTCAGAGGCAGAGAGTTCGACCGTCAAGCCGAGAAGCTAGGCTTGATTCGGTATCTAGCCGCCCCCCCACGAGGGTTGCATGTGGTACAAGGCCGATTTTAATGTGGGTTTCCAAAAAATGCCCGTAGAATCCGTATAAACGGGATCGGGTTGGTCAACCTTCTCGAACGATACTCTGCCCTTCGGCGGAGCCTCATCCGGGTTCTTCTCTGTTCAGAGGCAGAGAATTCGACCGTCAAGCCGAGAAGCTCGCCTTGATTCGTCCCTCTCTCTTGAGAGGCGTAGTAGACATAGTGTTAGGAAGATTTCATTCTGTAGTTATAGGTAAGGACCCATGACAATTTGTTACCATGATTCGTTTATTTTTGTTGAAGAATCCTAAATTCCAAATTCTTACAGTTTTAATGTTCGCCTTGTTTTTTTGTTTTTTTTTATCTTTGAAAGAGCCACCCTACCATTGTCGCCCGATTCTGCATCCGAAAGGCGACACTTGAACAATCGCACACATGCAACCGGATAGGTCGACACTTACAAAGATGATCACAACTCAATAAACGCGGACAGAAATTTCTCTCCACTCAACCCGCAACACACACACGCACACGACTTTAAAAAGAAATAGTGTGCAGGTGTTTATTAGCAAGGACTGTCTGGGGATGGTAGATGAGGACAGGAAAAACGGGTCAGGCGAAGAGGAATTGAATGGTGAGGAGAATCGCAAAGAAGTGCACAGGCATTGGACAACAAGTCGTTTTACTCTCGAAAAATGAAGAATGTACTTTGGCCCTGACTGTTCAAGATTGCTATTCTCTCTTCAGCTTTCCCTTGACTTTTCCTTTTCTTTTTTTTTATCTATGTCTTTTAATCTTTTACTTAATCTCGCTTGATGTGTTCAAGGGAAGAAGACCGTAAAGATAATTAGGACTGGACAATCAAAGAAGACTTGAAGCCAACCAGATGATAACAAAAAACATAAGAAAAAAACAGGGAGGAGACTTGCTTGCACCTGATCTCCAGCGAATAGTACTATACTCAATACGTATAAAATAACTTTGGAATTTAAACGATTTTTTTTCAAGCGAGACCAAAAGACTTCATCAAAAGAATTTGGCAATAAAAAAGAATTTGATAATCCAGTGATTGTCTTTATTTTGCAGAAGAAAATTATAAATATGTAAACGAACTGGGAAAAAAAAATCCTAAATGGAAAATAAAAAAAAAAGAAATCGACTTCACAATTGGTTGCAAAAACCAGATACGAACGTCGTAAAGTTAAGAAAAGAAGCGATCATAGGATTGTATCTTATGTTGAACATGAAGTTGACAGCTCTACCCATAATTACTGGAGCACTTGGAACGAATCTGAAAACTTTGCAAAATTTTTGTAAAAACTCTACACCAGATGAAGAATTTAAACCAACCATTATGGCTGTTTCGTTTGATGATAGATATCAATAAGAAAATGAACATAGTGCATTTGGAGAAAAAAAGGTTTTTATTCAAGTTTAATTGTTCATGTTTTATAGAACCCGGTTCAATCCTGTTATTTACTCATAGATGGGAGGAGAAAGGCCAGAGTTGCCATCCAATACTTATAAAGCCCGTCTGTGCTGCTATTTACCCATAGATGTTGGGGGGGGGGAGAAAGACCAGTTGCCATCGAAGGCTATAGAACCCGGTCGAGGAAGAGGATACATACATTTCCCGCCCCAATATTTTGCGCATACATTTATTCCATACGTAACAATACGCTTAGGCGATCAAAAGATCATGACTGACGAGGTAGGTTTTTTTTCCGAGTTTGGACAATTTTATTCTTTTCTGCGGTAACAATGTAGTAGACGGTCTGTCCTGCTATTTAATTTAGAGGGGAAATAAAAATTTCAATTGGCATCCAAGAACATAACAATCCTGTCTGTCCTGCTATTTTACCCAGAGCTAAAGTTTGAAGAAGAAGAGGATTCATAAAAATTTGATTCTGGTATTAGCATGTTACAGTGAATGTAATGGATTCGACTTTAATTTGAACTCACCCTTATCGAAATAATTTTATCGGTTTAGAATTTTTTGGTTGAAGCATAAAAAAAACATGATCCTGTTTTCAATAATTTATGAACCTTAATTTCGACAGTTTTTGAAATTCTCTCGGCTATTAGCAATTTTTAATATAATTTGTTATTAATAATATTTGAATGCTTGTATTTTGCAATAATATTAATAATAATAAAAATTAAGTTTGCCATCCAAAGCTATAGAACCCAGTCTGTCCTTAAATAGTTATTTTGCAGAGCCGTTTTTGACACCGAACAAGAGAATTCATATTTTTTTTGAAAACCTATTGATTAAATCATGATTGTAATTCATTCAACTATGGATTGAAATGTCTGTTCTCTCAAATCCTCAATCTGAAAATTTATCCATTACTCTATATTAACATCAGTTTAATTTAATTGTTAATGTTTATAGACGTTTAATGATGAGAAAGAGGGTGTCTATCAGTTTGGTGGTGGGTACATTTGAAGAGGGAGTACCCTGTAGGAGAAATCAGTGGAGAGAGAGGTTATAAAGGGCAGAAAAGAAAAGAAGAAAAGGAAGTAGAGAAGGGGGTTATTAAAGGAAAAAAAAGAAAGGAAATCATGAGGGGGTAGTAGTAAGAAAGAAGAAGAAGAAGAAATAAAGGAAGAAAAAGAAGATGAAAACGAGAAAGAGAAGATGAAGTGAAAACGATATTGGAGGAGAAATCTTCAAAGTTCGTGAATCTTAAATATTTTGTGGCCACATGGAAATACTAAAACAAAAGCAATTTACAAAGAATCATTTTCGCCATTCCAAATATGTTGTCTTTTCAATATGGAACTTAAACGAATATGCGTTTTAAAAAGTATTTCTCTCCAATATTTTACCCACGATTTTACTGTGAATCATTTTTGATATGTTTGAATGTGTGAAATTTTTTATTTGCAAATATCGCTTAGTGGCCAATGTGAAATAACGTTCGATGATATGTCAAATAGACCCCCGCAAAAAAAAAATTAAAAAAACCGAATTTTTTTGTTAGATAAAAAACTGATTAAATTTCAATTTGGCATCAGGATTACGTCATTGGAGATCATTTAGTCTAAAGGCATAATTAAGATAATTTTACCAGTTGCGACAATTTCTTTGGGTTTATATGAAGATGGTCAATAGATCGTCGAATTTTTTCTCTTTTTCTATAACATATTTCCCCTTTATGACGTTCCATTCTTTTGCACTTCTTTCTTCGAGGAAATATTCTTCTTCTTCTTTTGCGTTGTCAATTCTTGGACGTGATTTAATATAAAGATAAAATTCATTTGGAAAGAACACAACTTTGTAAAGATGAAAATTCAAAAATTAATTTAGTTTTGATATTAAACTTTAACTTTAACGTAAAAAAAGATTTTGAAAATAAATGAATAAAAATAATTAACAAGAAGCAAAATTAGATTTTGTTTAACTCCTTTGTGACTTTTTTGTTACACGAACGTCCTTCCGTTAAGCATTTGTGGTCCCATTTAAAAAAAATAATCTCCATTTTGATTATCTCATAATGCATTCATTATCTTTTTTTTGTGATAAACGAAACATTTAGTCTTAAGTTCTAGTAACACTCAAAGAATCAGTGTTTATAACATCAAAAGGATTTGTATTATCAAGAAAAATATTAGCCTTTTTAGAAACAGCTTCATGGGAATTTGAATACCAGAATAATGTCCAACACCAACGGAATAAAATATAAAATTTGAATGGATATTTTGCAAGCGGCAAAAGAAATATATTGAATATAAAATATTACTGGTCAACATGATTTTTTGGTGACAAAAAAAAACAGACGTTTTTTAGCTCAAAAATGACATTATTTTTTGATGGTTAGATACCAATTGTGTTGTAATGAAATTGTCCATTTTTTGTTCAAAAAGGAATTTAATTTGGCTGATCGCAAAATTTAGTTAACAAAGGTCGTAGAAACCCATTAATTTTCAGGCAATTTATGTCAGTCACCTGAAATAAACTAGAAAGAGTTTTTGAGCCAAAAATTTTAAAATGGAAATATCGAATCTTTCCAATTTATCGCCAAAATTTGAATTAACTGAGAAACTTTATCAGTAATACACTTTAGTAAACCTGATAATTAAGGTGACATGAAAAGAATGAAACCCTAAAATCTTCTGTTTGATATTCATAAATGTATCCTATCCCTTTTATCCCTTCACTACGGAAGGAAACCAAGCACACTAAGAGCATTTTGTTTTCACAGTTGGAAAGAAACTCCAATTAAAAACATCCCAATTGAATGCATCTATTCCATTGTACATGATACTGCTGGAATATCAAAAGGGACTTAGATAACATTGAACATGACAGACAATCAAGAAAGAGAAAGTTTTTTCCATAGTTCTTATGTTCACGAAGGTTTTATTTCTGCTGTTATTAGGTTGGTGCAAAAATAATGTCGTTTTCTCACATATGTTACGAATATATGATTTCTGAATTAATTCATATAGCCATGTTATATATCATTTTGAAGCGCGTTTTTCGCTCTATCGAATCGTGTTATTCGTTACCGTTCTCAATCTCTTCATTTCTTTTTTTTGCAGGCTTTTCGCCAATCATGGACAAAATTCAAATCCGCACGATTTTCTTGTTCCAGTTCAAACTAGGCCGAAAAGCTGCCGAGACAGCTCGTGATATCAATGATGCGTTTGGCCCAGGAACCACTAACGAACGTGTGGCACAACGGTGGTTCAAGAAATTTCGCAATGGTGACGAGAGCCTCGAAGATGAAGACGGTCGCGGCCGGCTGACTGCGGTTGATAACGAACATTTGAAAGCCTTAATTGAAGCCGATCCTCGCAAAACCACACGAGAAGTTACTGTTGAACTCGAGATCGACCACTCAACAGTCGTTCGCCATTTAAAGCAAATAGGGAAGTCAAAAAAGTTGGATAAATGTGTGCCACATGAATTGAACGATAATCAAAAAATCGTCGTTTTGAGGTGTCTTCTACGCTCCTTCTGCGCAACAAAACGACCCATTTCTCGAGCGGATTGTGACGTGTGATGAGAAGTGGATCCTCTACGACAACCGGCGACGTTCGGCACAGTGGTTGGATGCCGGAGAAGCTCCACAACACTTCCCGAAGCCGAAATTGCACCAAAATAAGGTTATGGTGAGTGTTTGGTAGTCTGCGGTCGGTCTCATCTATCACAGCTTCTTGAATCCGGGCGAAACGATTACGGCGGAGAAGTACTGCCGACAAATTGACGAAATGCACCAGAAGCTCCAACGTATGTGCCCGGGATTGGTCAAATGAAGGGACCAATTCTCCTCCATGACAACGCTCGCCCGCATGTTGCTCAACTGACCCTGCAGAAGCTGAACGAATTGGGCTACAGACTCTGCCTCATCCGCCATATTCACCGGACCTCTCGCCCACCGATTATCACTTTTTTCAAGCATCTCGACAACTTCCTGCGCGAAAAATGCTTCAAAAGCCGAGATGATGCCGAATCAGCCTTCAATGACTTCATCGCTTCCAGAACTCCGGATTTCTATGCTAATGGGATAAATAAACTTGTTTCTCACTTGGCAAAAATGTGTCGATTCTAATGGTTCTTATTTCGATTAATAAAGTTTATTATGAAAGGAGTTATGATCTTTTGAAGTTGAACGTCAAAAAACGACATTATTTTTGCACCAAACTAATAGTTTATTAAATGAATTGATGAAAATATTTGTTGGTCTTTGTATATTCAATCGTGTTATTTTTAAAGACTTAGGGTCTGATTGTTATTGCAAAAATAATATTTCTCAATAAGCAGACCAATATTTGCTGGTTGAAATAAGAACTGAGAGGTTTCTACGATTTTATTTTGAGAACTATTGCCATCGGTCATTATCATATATACAGAAAACAAATGAATTGAGGCATTTCTATACAGCAAAAACGGTAGCTAACCAAGAAAAAGTAAGGTCTTTTTCAGATTCAGCGCTCTCATATTACCTCATAAAGATGTTTGATGCCTTGATACCATTTCAATTTTTTTTTTTGACCAGTGTTATCGGTTAGTCGTGGTTTTGTCTGCCGACATGAATGAATGAGTGGTTTTGACTTATTAACTTGTTCTTTAAACAATTATACGCCCAGTTGAACACTTATATTTTAGTAAGTATCCAATATTTAGCGCCATGGTACCAGCGATCCTTCTTAAATACTCTTTAGTGTCTATAGTGTATAGCTGACCACTCGTATTCGAGGATACCTGTCTACTAGGGCGTCTAGCCAATCCCTATTGCAGACTCTTGCTCAGGCACATTTGCGTTTATTTAACCCCCCCCCCCAGAGCCCACCTGTGGCTTATACTGCAACTATGCTGAGCAGACCTTTGTTACAGTTTCTGGGAAAGAGCGTGTTATCTAGTGTGATCAACAATTTGAACAAAGCCAGCACGCTGATGCCTTCGGCCACGATGACTTGTAACTTCGTGCTAGCACAGCTATCGACGGCACCCAAGGATTTCGTCTACCCAATTTCGCTTACATAGTTTTCAAGCACTTTCCAAAAGTGTCGCACGCTGTGATCGACCTCTCTAGTCCGGTAATATCAAGAAGTCTCCTCCCTGACAAATCGACCATGGTGAGATTCGAACACCGGTCTCATGGTCAGAATGCGGACATTCTGACCACGCGGCCACGTGCCCAAAGTGTCTATAGTAAATCTATGGAAAATTACAACGCATTTTTTAAAAAAATAGGTACATGGCACTCGGCTTGTTGAGCTCAGCAATAGAGCAACGTTGCGTTGTTATTATCGCGACAGGCAATGCAATTAAAGATGATTGGGTCTCCATTGAATTTAAGAATCTGTTCTTCTTTTTTGTCTAACATCATGATAAACTCAAGGTTAGAGTGACTTACAAATAGACAGCGAGCACCCTACAAGCAAGTCGCTAGTCGCCCGCTGGCGGGCCGCCGATGGCAAAGTCCTCTGGTTGCCTCTAACGGTCGCCAGTGGTAACATTGCTGAGACGAACACGCAGGCGATCCAACAGCGGGCCACCAGCGGTAAACGATAGTGGCATGCCAATCAGTGGCAGATTGGTGGCTTGCGTGTATGGTAGGTAACGAAATGCAAAAGCCAATTTCAAATAGAATTCGAACGCGTTTCACCGATTTTCTTTTCTGCTCTCAGTAACCGTAACACCATCCGAAACTCCGAATCAAATTCTTTACTCAAAGGCTAACAAATTATTTATAATCCTAGCCAAATATCTGTAAAACTAACAGGATTATTTACGCATAGATCATCACTTCAGTCTAGGATAAGTGTGTCGTATATAAAGCGAAGTGAGTCCTCTCAGTCACTGTGTGTTTATCTAAAAATAAAATACGCTTAAATTCACCTTAGTGGTAGAATCTCCGACTGACGCCAATTCAGTCGGGTTTCGATCCTAGCTAGAGGCAAACGGACGTCTAGCCACACTGAAGAGCTGTGATACAGCGAAACAGTTTGTCTGTGGATGATATTATATAAGCTCCTGAAAAATTAATTTCGTTTGAGCTCTCTCTGGGGGAGGAAGTGTGGGTCTGTAAACAGTGACTATTACGGCTATTATAGCAAGACTCTTCGGTAAAGCGAATCGAGTCCTCTCAGTTACTGTGTGTTTATCTAAAAATAAATCCGCTAAACTTCACCTTCGTCCCTGCCGTGCACCGACGGTTTACTGATAGAATCTCCGACTGACGCCAATTCAGTCTGGTTTCGATCCAAGCTAGAGGCAACCAGACGTCTAGCCACACTGAAGAGCTGTGATACAGCGAAACAATCTGTCTGTGGATGACAATATATATATATATATATATATATATATATATATATATATAATATTAATGTTAAACATAGCGACACAGAAAGAAAAGAAAACCTACACTGAATATATACAAATAGAAGGTTGGACTTTTAACAAAGTTAAACATGTTAATTGTCAGATTAACTAGATGTAAGGCAATCCTCCATTTCATATTTATTTTCAGACTTTATATAGATTTTGTTTACTTGTATCGACGAAACAAGTAAATCTAATCATTCGATTCTTTTAATGATATCTCTCATATTTCTTCATCTCCTACGATTTGATTTTTTTGCCAGGGGCGGGGTTGGGGATTCTGAGTATATTGTTTTCTCCTCTGGGCTCTCACTCCTTTAAAACGCCACATCCTCTGGTGGCTTGAGTTTCTAATTCATTATCTTTCAAGGCTGAACACACACCTATATCTCAACTCCCTAAGGTGAGGTGCAATGGATGCTAAGGGATGATGTGTCTGAGATGTTTCTGATTTATATCAGTGGCAATCAGTCCATGAAACACGTCAGAAATTGGTGGCAACGGCTTGGTAAAATTACGTATTACAGTTCAACGACCAAAAATGACGACAAAACTAAATATATACCATGAATTCTTGTTGGATCATCAAGGTCCAAGTAATTCTCAGCTGAGTGACACTGATATCAAAGAGACTCTAAGTATGACAAATAATTGAACATTAAAAAAGTATGAATACATATATATATATATATATATATATATATATATATATATATATATATATATATATATATAAGTGAACATAGAAATCAACATTTAGAGACACCTGTTTCATGCGAGATGCATCGTCAGGCCACCGCTATTATAGCGTGGCCTGATGATTGCATCTAGCATGAAACAGACTGTCGCCTCTAAATGTTGACTTTATGTTCACTTTTATATTTACACACGCTTTATCTCTGATATTGAGCACTTTATCCCATAAATATAGCACATCTTAAGTCTATATTTCTTCATATATATATATATATATATATATATATATATATATATATATGTGTGTGTATAACGTTCCAAAAGTGTTAAAGACTAGAAAATAAACCGAATAATGATGAAATTGGACAATGTCACATGACACTTGGTAGTTATTATCAGCTCTCACAGAAAAGGAGACACGCTTTCTCAGTTCAAAGTAAGTATATACCTACTTTATTATAAGGGAAAGGCGAATGAATAGTGGCACAAGTAAAATCTCAACAGTAAATTAGACAGGATTATCTGGATAGTAATCCGATTATGCAAAAGATAAACTCAAAATAATAATCCAAGTATACGCACCAATTTCGAAAACTTCAATGTTTAGAAAAATGAAGAGTTTTATGAAGACATCAGTAGAGCTGTATGCAGAGTGAAAACAAATTAAACTATATTACTGCGCGACTAATGCAAGCATATAGACATGGTAATCGGTACAATTAGGTGAAGGAATATTTAAAACAGGTAAGAGGCGAAATGGTCGATAACTTCTCAGAAAGACAAAAACTAATAATTATGAATACATTTCAAAAGCAAAGATGTCAGAAATGAAATGGAAAAGCCCAAATGGAACATAAAAAAAACGGAAACAGACTTCATAATTGCTAACAAAACCAGTACCTTTAAAGATGCGAACGCCATGAAGTTAATAAAAGAAGCGATAACACAATGGAAGCTTGCATTGCCAAATTTCATTTTTTCAAATTGAGACAAGTAAAACGATTCTCAGAAAGAAAGCAGATCTTAATAAGGTCAGTGACAACATTACCGAATTTCAGTTAGATATCAAGAAGGCTTTGTGAAATGACGTAAATTCTGGAAA